CTTCTATCAGCTTTAAACAATCCCAGAAGTCTTGTCTTTTCTTTTTCTATTGCATCATTGCTTACTGAAGCCTTTCGACTTGGTTCTGAAACAATTATAATGGAATATTTTTTTACACTTCTGAAATAAAGATTCAGAAAATCAGTATTTTAAAACATCCTGGACTAATGCTGTGGTTTTTTTAGCTGGAGATGTTATGAACTGAATTATCTAAGTAACTGCCAGATTGCACACTTTCTTTTTCATCAGACTTACTTGTTCTGAGTTTGTTCCAAAGTCTAATGGAGGCAATGGAATAACTTAATAAAATTCAGTTTATTAATTTCAGTTTTCAATCACAATTTAGTAATCCTTATTAAAAGGCAAAACATGAGCAAGTTGCTTAGTCTTTAGAAATGCTTGTTAGAGGTATCACTTAAAACTCATGGAGTACTCTTAACACCTTATAAAAAAGACTTTTCAAAAAGATGATGGTGAATATCTTTAACAATTCACAGGCCTGGCTTAATACAGTGAAGTTAATGGAAAGGCTCTCAGTGTGGATTTGGATAAAGGTCCACAAAGAGGAAAGAGACCTTTTGCCCTGGAAAAAGGGCTCTCCTCAGAACTTAAACCAGATGGTGGTGGCCATCTTTTCCCATCTTGGTGCTTTTACTTCAGGTGGGAAGAGAGGTGATTTTATAGGCATTTCAAGCTGTAACAGCTCAAACATGCATGTCCTCCTTGAACCTGCTTAGAAACTGTATGAATTCTCAGACCATTTAGTCTCCCTTCAATTTCCTTCACACCAGGCAAGCTGGATGAGCAACATGATAAGGTCATGCATTACAGGGCACAACCATTGGTTTGACATTCAATATAGAGACTGTAAAGCTCTCCCACTTTTTTTTTAAATGGACAATGCATAATGCTATAAAGATTCCTCCCTGATTCCAAGCACATCAGAGTATCCCACTAGCACACAGAAAATTTAATGTACAGAGAAAAACTGCTTTCTCTTGTAAATACTTGCTTTATTTGTTTAATAAGAATTAAGAAGCAAATGCAAAAGTACTTGTTTGTTGACACAAAATAAAGGTTTACGTTACAAAAAAAACCCCCTCATCCCAGAACTCCTGTAAACTGATTTGCATTTCACACAAAGCACTCGACTGTCACACAGATCACTTTGCATATCAGCAATGTCAGGTGTTAGGTGTTAAATACATATAGTAGTTCAAAGCCCAGTAGAAGAGTAAAGATGATGAACCCAGAGGAAAATAGGAAGAAACTATCCTTAAGAAAGGCTGCAACTCCACTGCAAAAAAAAAATACAGTAATAAATTAATACCTTTCTCAAATACTAAGCACTGCCTATGCTCTGGTGAATACCAGAAACTGCTGGTTTTCTGCTCAGGGCTGGGCTACAACTAGATGTGGATTATGAATCCCTTACATCCTCTTCAACTATAAGCTATATCAGTAACTGCTGATCATCAACGTTACCATTAAACATTGTATAATCCCAGTAAATTGGGATTTTAAACGCAGCATATCATCTCAAAACAACAAGGAATCTTTATAAATCTGTATCAATTTTTCTTAAATAAATACAGTAGATAGATAAGTCTCTCTAGTGTTATGCTCTGTATAAGAGGAAGCCACAGCAAATAATGACAGAGGATTAGGGGGAAAAGTACTGACATTAGTGAGGCCAAGAGGCAATAGGCCATGAGCTAAAATTTGCTTGATGGCTGTCACCTACTGGAGGTGGACTTCCTTCCTTCCTGAAAACTTAAAATTAGCCACAGTTTTATTTTGGTTATGTTCTGTTTACTAGTAATGCAAAGAAGTAAAGCCAGTTACAAATCAACCATACCTTTCTTGAGGATAACTAATTTAAGCAATGTATTACAACAGACTCAGCGGAGGAAAAGGATATACTAAATATACACATTTTCTACTTAACTAGAAGCAGAAGCACCAATGTAATCTAATCAAACCCCATCTATCATAGCAATTAGAAGTCAGCATCTATTCAGAGTTATCCAATGTGTATACATAGGCTTGATATTAAAATGCTTCGTTGCACGTAAATTGAAATTAGTCAAGACCTCATAGATCTCAAAACATTCTTTGTTACTAAACAGATTTTGAACCCAGGAGACCTCTGAAATGTTAGTATTTCTGAAATTCAACTAATCATGCTTTAGGTAACCTGAAAAGGCTTGGGAGCTTTATAGGAACACACTGCACCACACAACAGTTAAATGACAGGATTTGTTAATTGCTGGCATTTTAATATGGCAATTACTGAAGAAGCAGTATGCACAGAAGTGTGTTTGTTCTGACCAAAAGCACAGACATGTAAACAACACTTTGCAAAAGACAACGCAGACAAAAAAATAGCTAGTTTCTCTACAGCATTTTCACGTGACATTCTTAAAGATGCATCTACCAAACCCACATTAAACATAGCATGAAGGGAGAGACGGTTTTCCCTCAGCAGCATTGTACAGTACCTCTATAGTTCAGAGAAGGTTCAGACTGAGTTTTTGATGGAGGAACTGCAAAAGGCAGGCAATGAAAGGACAAGAGAAGACATATTAAAGTTGTAATATTGCCTCATAAACCACCATTTTCATTAATTATTCCTAGTATTTGTTTTCCTAGGCATTACAGAAAAAAAGCTGACCCGCAACAGACATGCAGAGCTGCTATTCAATGCAGTTTAGCTGTGTTTATATTAATTCCTGATTCATTCGTGAAGCTGCCTCAACTGCTAAATCGAATTATGTAAGCAGGTGGCAGCAGAGCTTGTCTTTTAACAATCCTTCAGCACTGAGCATTCCTGTTTCAGGGAAGAAGAGAATGACGAGCACAAAGTTTTTCTAGAACCTGCTCTTACAAGCACAGCCTATGCTTTCAGCATCTCTGGTGCCTTACTCGTTAGTGGGAATGTGTTTTAAAAATCTGTTCTGATAACTAAACAGACTGGACATCTACTCAATGCACAGTTCATAGATCAACTGCTACTGAAACCAATGGGATTATTCCTCTTGGAGATCACAGATGAGAACACAGGAGGAAGGAATTTGCTGAAACAAAGAAAACCTTTTGTAAATTTTATCTGTATTTACCGGTTTCCTCATCAGACACCATGGTGGAGAGTAAGAGGAAGGCAGAAAAGACTAAAATACACTCAGGATCAGGGGGATTTTATTGTAATGAAAACAACACTGAAAGCTTAAAAAAGAATAAAATATATAAAAAAAAAATCTGATGCAGAAAGCAGCACACTATGAAGTGTTATTTGCTGCCATAATCCCAGCCCTGAAGTAAAGTCTTGGTTTTGACTGTACAGGCTACAACCGGACTTGAGGACCAATACTGCAGCAGTATATACACCATCACTTTCATTTGAAAGGAAAAGAGTTTAAGGAAGGCTTAGGCTAATTATTCTGGATGTTGTCCCTGAAGTATGCTGAATGAATGCTGTTGAATACTCTGCGCATTCAATATGCTGCTCCAGCATGGTTAGCTTAATTACAGTAAACATATCTTAAAAAAACACACAGACAATTGAATTATGACATGTTGTCAGCCACTTTTTTGAGCATCCTAACAATTCAAAAGAAAAGGAGACATTTAGTTTACTTGAAAGTCTAAACTCACAGAAATTTGACTCACACAGAGGTAGAACTGTCACTTACCAAAGGAGTTTGAAAGAGGAGACAGAACATCAACATAAATAAATAACTGTATAAATAAAAAATAAGCCTGCTGTTCAGCACCTTACATAAGGACATTTACTGTGCTGGAAGTGATACCGATTGAGACAAACTGCAGGAGACAATTTTAATGAATATCACTTTCTGACCTCAAAAGAAGTAGCGCTTGTCAATGTGTATTTTTCAAGCAGTTAGATTTTAAAGCACATTGCATAATTATGCTACCTGAATACAAAATCAGGCTGATAAAACTCAAGCCCAAGAAGCTGCTGCTACAATATCATCCACAAGAACAGAAAGTGAGGGTGAATAAACAAGAGAACAAAATTTTATGTACAAATACCTCTTGGCTCCTCTTCGCTATACCGTCAACAGCTTCGCTCTTTGGAGGAACTGTCTCTGAACCTACCCGCAGTCTGTTTCTCATAAGCCCTGGTCTGTCGCCTCTGCCTCTCAGCTTTCGCAGCTGCCATGACTATGCCACGTCTCTTCTTTCTCTCTCTCCAACCCACAGCACAGGTAGGTGACAGGCTCTGCCTGGACGAGGCCCCCGTCTTATGCACACCTGTACTGACAGCAGCTTCAGGAGGCAGCGAAGCTCCTCCTTTTACCCTGCCCCAGGCTAACCTGTGTCCTGACAGGGGCCAGCCCAGCCTGGCGCCGGCCCGAGAGCAGCCAGGGATGGCTGGGCACGCTGCTGTCCTGGCTGCCGCTCTGGGCACAGCTCACTGAACAAACCCATGCTGCTCTCCAGACTGAGATGTCACTCTGCTGTTTCATCCAGGCCCCCAAGGAACAAGAGCACAAATGCTTTTAAGTTTCCCCTAATATTGTTGGCACATCATCTAACCCTGCAGCAGCCACTTTCAGTCTTGGCTCACCTCTTTTTCTGTCCCAGGCGTACAGTTCCTTTATCCCCAGCTCCTCCAAGGACTTGGTAAGCTCCAGCTCCTCCCCAGTGATGCCATCTCGCAGAAGAACAATGTGCTCTTGACTGACTTCACACTTCTCACAAATAGCTGGGATGATGTTATGGAGTGGCACCTCCGGACTAACTCGAACCACAGCCTTCTGAGTCTTCAGGTAGTTCACTACCAGCCTCACAGATTTCTGCAGGAACAAACACAAACTCTCAGCCCTCCCTCTCTGATGGCTAGGCTCTTGTACAATGAGAAAGGCATTGGGGACCTCCATATTGTCTTGACTCCTCCTGGGCAAACTTACCCCACATGCATACTACTACAAAAAAAATTATTAAAAAAAAATCTCAGAACTCCCCTGTCACTAGGGAAACATTCACAAGAACAGACAAATAAGGAAAAGGAATCAGAGGCAGCTGTAATTTGTGAATATTTACAAGTACTGCTCTGAAAGGCGTGACAGTGTAATTAGCTATACTGATTCGTAACAATAAAAATCTCAGCAAAATCTTTGGCAAACTTCTGAATCTTACAATACTGTGAAATACATTTATTAACCATCAGTCTTCTCCCATATCTTCAATAAAGATGGCAATCAAAATACCTCCAAAACCCTACCTACCTCCACACAATTCCACAAACCTCACTGCAGACACGACTGCAATTTTCAATTCCCAGTCTTCAATCAAGGGTCTTTTGTAAGAACAGATTCCCATCTATTGAAGCACATGCAACATGACATTTTGTCTAAATGCTGGAGTCCAGACTGGCACATGCCAGACTGCGTGCAAATCAGTTAAGCTAGTAAAGCAGGTTACAGTTAATCTCAACCCTCTCCTATCTCGTTTGAAGATGCAAAGATTGGAAGAACTGCTTGTAATCATGATAATGAAATGATGTTTCATGGCACCATTTTAGCCCTACGGAGTACCAACCTCAGGGACCCTTGGCAGAGGTCGCTTTGTCTTCTCTTCAGGTATCTTCTCTTTCAGAAGTACCGTCTGTACATCCAGTGCTCCTATCAAAGTGTTTGGCTTGTAACTCAGAGGCTGTTGAGCTCCTGAAGACTTCAGTTCAAGACTATGTTGGGATGGATTTAAGCGATACTGGCTGCATAAATCAACCAACAGATCCATCACAGCTTTACTGCAGGGAAGAAGATATTCACTGTTAGCATGAGAAAAAGTAGTTGCTAAAAAAGTTACCTCAGTTTTAATATGGGAGAAAAAAAGACAATACAAGCTGTGGATGCATCACTAGTTAACCATCTTTGGGAGGGAACAGTGCTAATGCTTTGAAATGCTAAACAAATCAGATAAAATGTTAGGAATTAAAAATACTTGCACTTCACTGTGCGTTTATGAGCTGGCAATTAACTATTCACTATGAGGCAGACAACAGGGGCATAACAACACTAACAAACATAAGCCAAGAGCAGACAAAGTGCATCTTATCTGCTAAATCCATACATTAAATTCTCCAATTCAGACCCTGTTCTTTAACATGAAGACAGGATATAAATAAATGATGCACTCACAGTATGGTAAACTCTACCTAGATTTGAACGATCACATAACACAACTCAAAACGGAGCATTTAGATCTGGAACAAAAGGTAGATAGGATTATTTTTTTTCCAGCTTACAACTTTGAGTCCCCCCCACCCAATCCATTTGACACCAGCAATTTTTCCAACTACAAGAGATCCCTTCCACATTTATTTTGGTGAGGATATTAACCCTGTACAAAACCATCTGGTTTCAAGTATTTTCATTATCAAGAACCCTTATTGCAGATGGGATTCTTAAGCCCCGAGGTCAGAAGAGTCAGTCATTGCCCCTCTCTTATTCCATGCCTCTGCAGAGAGGTACTCTGGTTTGTGCCAACAACATAACATTCATTGGAGCTTGATACTGCCTGACACAGCAGATACAAACTATGTTCCTCCACACCCCAGACATTCTCTTCTACCAAGGTACTGAAAGGTTCTTTTTTTATAACCTTCCTCTGTAAAAGTCCATCTAGGATCAGAGAAAATAGGTTTACTAAAGTTGGTTATATTTCAGAAAAGATTTGGTTTCATAAACCAGTATCTGTCATCAACAAAACAATGTAAGTTGTTACCAGCTGTACCTGAGGCCTGTCACATACATGGGATATTTTTCTTCTAGCAGAAATGAAAATAAGTGTGTATACAGCGTATTTGCCAAAGGAATTGGCATCTCTTCTAATGTGTAAACTGGAAAAACTGTATACAGATTCAAAATGCAAGCAAATTCCAAGAAAATAAAATCCTTCCCAGGTTATTAGCTATCATGGTTACATCTGTAGCTGAAGAGCTGCCCCTCAACTGCAAGCTGTTGGCACCTGGGAAACAACTGTGGAGGGGCTGTTCATCTTCCCTCTGCGTATATGTTGTTGGCCAACAACTGCTCAAGAAGTTGGTGAAGAACCCAGGAGAGCTCATGGCAAAGACAATGAGAATGGAAAAAGAGAATGATCCCTTATTAACAGACGAAAGACTAAAACATACATAGGTGACAGCTCTTCCCACGCAAGAGATGAGAGAGGACCTTCTTTACAGCAACCTCTTTCAAGTTTAACTGAGTTACACACTGTAAGCTGAAAAAGTGGCAAGAGTGGAAAATTTGAAATAGGTGATCGCATTGAAAAGAGAAGAACACAGTGAGATGATGACTGAAGATCAAACAAGGAAAGCAGATGCCATTAATATGTATAGGAGCCTTCAGAAAAACAGAGCACTGTGGTAACTGCTAACATAGAGAGCATCTAAATAGACATGTGTAGTATCTAAATTGAAACTGCATCAGGTCATTTCATGATTGCTTATTCTGGCACTGTCCCCAAGTTGCAAATGTCTGTGTTTCACAACCATGTTTAATTCATATGTAACAAGCCACAAACAAACAGAAACATTTACATCTACTAAGTCCAAACTACAGGAGAATCCGGCCTGCACTGATAATTACATGAATATTCATTATGCTGTGCAGCAGTGAGCACTTAAAAAAGTGTCAGTCCGCCTGATACAGATCTCAGCTTGTCTGTTTAGAGACGTATTTCTTTTAAAGTGAAATTTGCATGCGTTTTTTCCCCCCTCAGCCTTATTACTATTGTTTCAGAGAAAAGCAAATAACTTGGCAGAACCACAATACATGGTGTTCTACGTGCTAGACATTTCTATTTACAGTGGAATGCTAATATATTTCTGTAGCGCATAATATTGTGATAATTCATTCAAATTTGGACAGTTATCTTACCTCATGTAAATTATTTCATTAAAAACACTTTTTAAAAAAAGAACAGCACTTGAAAAAGGATTTTTTTTTTTTTAATATAGTTCATCAAAACAACAGTTCATGATTCCGTACACCTTCCACTGAAATTATGAAGTATGTTCAGCAGTGACAGTACCACGATTGCAACAAGATTAAAATCCAGGCCAGCCATCTGAGAAAATAGGTTGCGGACAATCATGCAAGTTGAACAAATTTGTCCAGACAATGAACAATTTAAAAATCCAGCCAAATTTGAGGTTTCATCGTACTGTTGATTACAGAGCAGGTGTGTGTTAAATATAACACTTAAAGAAGTCTGCAACATCCCATCCTGAGCCACGCTGCTCAGAATACACAACTGTTCCATAAAAAGCATCCCTAGGCTTCATCTGTACCATTTAGGAGTACAAATTAAGCAATATCTCTGAAGCTTTTGAAACAACTTCGAAGTGAATAGTATGCTCTTCCCAAAATCTAAATTTGGAAAAATAATTTCCACAAAACTTCAAAAGGATAAGAAAAAAAGAAAAGAGAAGAATTCTACAACAAAATTCATGTGTTTCTGGAGACGTAAGAACGCTGGGAAGTCCTTGCAATGAAGTTATTCTTATATCAGATTTCCATTTCTCCAACTTGAAAAATTTTACTTCTAAACTCTAATATAGTTCAGCTTGATTTTTAAATGGGAGTTTTATTTCAAGTAACTCCATGTATACACCACACAAAGAAGAGACCCACTAAACACAGAAAGAGAATGGTACTGAACCATCTACTAATCTAGACCAACTTTTCTTTCTAACCTTGGGGTGAATATGGCTATGGGAAGATGCAAACAGTCAGTCCTTCCTTTGCTTTCCATCTCATTCCAAACATATCTGCACTTCATTTTAATCTGCTTTTGAGACATGGTAGAGAGCATAACCTATTTTCAAATTCAGGCAGGTCTGATCATAAAGGATTAAATCTAAAGCTGAAATGAAGAAGTTAAATGTCTCCTGCCTTTCCAACTACTCAGCTAAGAAACACATTACTTTCTTATTTTAATAAGATGTTGCTGAAATTTTGGGTGTCACTATCTGACAGACACCAAAACATTAATGACAGATAAGCAAATACTAGAGCACAGAAATAAAACTGAAGGATGAAACCAATTTAAGATTCAGACAAGATGGTCCAGACAACTATTCTTAGTAAAGGAGAGTACTTTGGCTCTGTCCTGATATTCTATTACTAAGCTGTTTGGCATTTAGCACTAATTCTGGACACTAAAGAATAACTACTTTGTCAGCAATATTTATCAGGCTGAAGTCCTCATCAAGTTTGAGCCTGTCAGGCCACTTGTGTCTTGTTCACAAGTAAAATAGAGCAAAGATGTCTATAGTTGAAGAGGCAGAAAACTACTCAGTTCTTTTGGGTGTGGCTTGGCCTAATATCCTTGGATCACACAGAGAAATCCATTTTAAAATACAGCCTTGTACATGTAGGAAACAGATGTACAGGATAAAGTTGTACTCTATCAGAAGACATTGATTTCCCTATTATCTTCTACTTTCATGCTACAAATGCCCATAAAGAAAACCTTAAACTGGAGGAATTATCTTCTTTATTTAGGTCAATGCCAAATACACATTAGGAATCTAAAGTGACAAGTGATTGGAAAAGAAAACCGGTAGTGTAAAGGGGGTGACCTGAAGTCTCTGACGCCTTCACTATCTGCATTTAAAAACTGAAAATAGCATTAGCCATTTTTATTTTCTCATGCTCCAAAGCATAACAGGCACTTCATGAAAAGATTAGAATATTTCCTACACAACCATAAATGTATACACTAATAGCAAGCTGCATCGAAAGAAGTACGGGAAGCATGATAAACAGATATTCAGAAATGCCTCCTCTTTCTTTTCTTATTTTGCTTGTGTATATTTGGCTCGCTTTCCATAACTGAGCAAGTCCACAGAAGGAACATCAATATGACACACAAGAAGAGGTAGAGGACTGGGTTTGTAGAGCCTTAAAATGTGAAGGGTGAAGGGAGATCTTGTTGCTGTCTGTGAGTACCAACTGGTAGGGCTACAGAGCCAGACTCTTCTTGGTGGTGAACAGCAAGAGGACAAGAGGCAAGAGACAATGCCAACCTAGGAAATTCCATTTAGGTACATGGAAACATTTTTTTCACCATAAGGATGGTCAAGCCCTGGAACAAGGGTACAGTGAGGTTCGGAAACCTCTTCCCTGGAGGTATTCAAATTTGCCTGGAAACAGCCCTGAGCAACCTGCTCTTGTGAGACCTGCACTGAGCAAGGAGTTAGAGCAAGTTGAGTTCCAGTGGCTCCTTCCAACATAAATTATTCCATAAATTATTCTAGTAAGTTGTTTTTTTTTTTAAGCCTACACTGAAATACTGTAGTTTTGACCTGACCCCTATTTAGTTAAGGTCATTTTTAACCCTTTTGCTGTATGTTCCCTGTTCATCTGCTTCTAACAACATTTCTTCCATGTTTTACCAACCTGGGCTGATTTCACACCTTCAGTCTTTCTTGAGACACCATTCTGTATGTTGAGATCTAAGCCCACAATTAGTATCATTTAAGTCTCTTATGAGAATTATGTGAGAATATTCTTTCTGTGATGACATTAGCTTCATGCTCCATATAACACATATGCACTGAGCTCAGCCCTCCAGTACTCGCAGAATGGCACTACAGCTTCAGCTGGTTTATTATTTCTTCTACCACCCTGCTATCTGTGCATCACACATACGTGTAACATGTAAGATAACAGCAGGAGCAACAACTGTCCAGTCTACTGCCTATCAGTCACCCATGTGTCAACAACTCCAAACCAAACATCATTTAGTTTTAAACATCCCCATTATTCTACAATATATTTCAAATACTACTGACTTCTCAAGCTGCTGACACGGAAGGTCTGTATCTGTGTTAATCAGAAGTCCTTCTCAGCGTCACTCAACGCGAATGGAGACAGACACAATGCATTTATTTATAGGTTACCCACTGCAGGTAGTGAGAATTACAAACAGAAAAGTTTTCTGGTAATTTTTGTGAGCTTTTTCACTTACCTTCTTTCTAAACGTCTACTCATCGCCTCCATCAGACCTGCTAACACTTTCTGTGGATGTGCTACAGATCTATATGCATAAACTGTATAAGTGGCCAATGCTCTATCTATCACAACATCATATAGCTCTCACACAACAGTACAAATATAGATTAGTCGGGGGGGGGGGGGGTGGGGTGTATTTTATAACCCTTTTGAGGGGGGGAAGGCTAGCAGTTTTTCAAGGATACTTTTGAATGTTTTACAATAGAGTTCACAGAGACTAATTATTTCAAAAAAGAAAAATGTTTTTCAATACCTTTTTATTGCTGCACATACTGCTTAAGGACTCAACTTTGTCCTAAAATCTGCACTACATATTTCCAAAATCTGGAATAAATTGTCTGTTACAAGATGGCAATAAACTCTTAAGAAAGAGACTCAGCTTGAGTTAATTTTTATAAATAAACCTACTTAGAAAATCCAGATTCCAATAAAATATCTTTAAATGGCACATACTTTATTTTTTTCCTGAACCGTCTTTCAAGAAAATTTAATGAGAATTTTCTGCCCTATCGCTGATAATTTTAGGAACTTTCTATATAGAGAACAAAGTAAAATTAATGCTATGCTGCTTTGTTTACATACAATGAACTGAAAGAGATAATTTTGACTTTTTACTTGGTTCATTTATAATAACCTTAAGTGATACTAATTAACTACAGCAGTTATGTTTTCAAACATCCTCTAGTGTACTTCATTGCTCTGTGAACTGCTTTCCTAAAATTACAGAACCATTTTTCATTATGATGATGCCCAGGGCAAGGTTTTGCAAATTTTTCTGCAACAGAAAAACTATTTCCCCAGGGCACCCAAAACCAGATTTTGCAGAATGCAGTTTTAATGATGGCAATGAAAATACTGAAGATTTATAGCAATATAAACAACAGCAGAATTTGTCTGAAATGTCCTTCTGTGATATCACCATAGATAAAAAGAGTGAACAGGAAAAAGAATTTATTACCTGCACTGGCTCCCATTCTTGCTTCAAACTAAACGAAAACACAATTTTTTTTAATCCAGTATCTTCATCATTAAATGTTTACCTCTGAGTATCACCACATTTTGTGGCTGTCCAGTTTGCAATGTCAAAACAATGCAAGACAACGAAAAAGCCTGGGCTTTCACCCAAACCGGGAAACTTAAGACAGTCCATCCCCTAAAAATTTCAGATGCTCTTGACCTTTTTTTTTTTTTAATTCCACAGCCCTAAAAACGTAACCTGTGTTAATGTACAGAAAATTTCATCTTCCAGTGATTAGAAAGAACAGCAGCACACACCAGGTCTGTTCACAGACTGATGCCACTGTAATACAGGGCTCGTTACAGGGTATCCTTTTCTTATTTCCTAACTTGCTAGGATGATTTACTCTGCTCCTCAGTTTCCATAATCTTCCACTTTCCACAGCTGGCTATCAGTGCCTGACATTTGTCACTAACTCTCCACTCCACGTGCTCAAGACAGTGCTGAGGGAGAATACCTACTACCTAGGTTAAGCACTGGTGATTAGCACAAGCAGGAATTTAACTGCCGCCTAGACCTGTCATGCAGCCAACGGAGAGAAGTGGGCACCTTCACAGAACAATGAAGAGAACATTTTGCTTGCTTAGAGTGCCTAATGTAGACAATATAAATAACTCCACAGAAACATCTAAGGTTTAATTTTCAGTATTTCTTTCAGGTTTTAGTCCACAAACCAAAGACTCTAATAAGCAAAATACTCCGTCTCAGTGTTATGTGATAGCAATGGTAGTGCTAATAAACATCTGTGCGAGAGACAGAATGTTTATCGTACAGTGATTTTCCATTTGTTCTCTGCTATCGTAGCTTTTATGTTCTTCAAAAGGTCACATTAAAAACACCACTCCTGTAGTGCTCTTGGAGTGTTTGTTTTGGGGGTTGATTTTTTTAATTATTTTTTTTTAGGGAAAAGAAAATCTTTTCTACTCATACGGCAATTATATCTCTCTCTATACAAAATGCTGCGTGAAGATTAGCCTCTTGTTAGCTCCCAGGCGGCTTGCATTTGCCAATGAAATACCAGCTTTCTTTGGGATCTAACGGCCACTGAGTTTCATGTACTGTTCTACTTTCCAGGCTTGTTCTCTTCTTTCTCTCATTAAGTCTAAATCTCCCTATAAAAAAATCAATTGCTAAATGCATAATTTGAGAGCTCTGATAAGCACTGCTTTCCTTTAACATCACTCTGGCTTTGAGGCTGACCCACACTGGTTGCACTAGTCTCGCGAGAGTGGCTAAGCAAATGCTAATTTCTACAAGAAAAGTAGGGGGAAGAATGAAGTACCAGACACTGTGTGCTGCTGTACACATCCTCCTCAGCCATCAAAGTACACTAATGGACAAACAGTCAAAATATACTAACAGACCGGACCAAGAAGAGTAGCTTTACAGGAATGCAGACTAACTACTGCAAACCCCAAATGTAAAGTAGATTTAGCAACAGGCATCTACACATCCTCCTAATCTGGTATTACCACTTTCTACAGTTTATTGACCACTGCTGATCACACCATCGTTTGCTAGTTTCACCATAGTACCGAATATATTTTTTATATGCTTCCAAATTCTTTCATAAAGTAATGGTTCCCTCTTTCACAGAGAGAATGAGGAGAAGGAAGAGCTCCCATGGTGAAGAAAATGATCTCAAAACTGCCTTTCCAACACAATTTGCCCTTGATTGTACCCAGTGACAACGAGAACCTCTCTCTTCCCATGAAACAAACAGTGCATTTTTATAAAGAAAAGGCTTCCTAAATACCAGCAGATGCTTTGCTGTCTACACAATCGCAATGTATTTGTGCAGGCAGGATCTCTGAATGTGATGAATCATTCATCTTCTGAGCTTGCTTCTCGGCACGACTCCAGACAGGCATGCTGTCAGGATTGCTGTTTGCCAGCATCACCTACTTCCACTGCACCAAAACCCCTCTGTATTATGAGATGCGATACATCCTAAGACAAGCCCAGTGGCACTACATGGAAGAGACGGATCCATACAAGTGCTGAGGGTGATCCCTGGGGAAAACAGTGACACAATAGCTGCTAAATCCATCCTGCCCCAGCAGAGAGGGTCCTTTATACATGGCTCTCAGGACTCTCTGGTACAACAGCTGCCTAAAATGCAGAGAGAAGCATGACAGAGAAACCCCAGCAACCCGGAAAGGGAGGCATTAATATCAGCAAGTATCCCACTGGGAATGGAGGGCTCCAGAAAGTGGGAGCTAATCAAAGCCTTACCTTCCTTGTACTGTGCTCTTCTGCTCCACCCCGCTGGGTAAAATGACTGTGAAGTCCACTGATCTGTTTATCATGTTCTCCTTCATGCTCACAAGGTTCTGATCAGAAATTACAGCTATCTCTGCAGGTGACTTGTGCTCACTGTGAATTCTACTTGCTGCGGGAGCTTGATTTGGTGGAGGAGGAGCACGAGCTTTCATTCTTCTCCTTGAGAAATAAAGGCAAGAAGAAAATCAGTAATTTCTCGCGAGCAAAGTATAAACACATTAATAAGAAAATATGTTATTTCAGCTGTAATCTCAGACTGTTTTAAAAAGTTCCTCTAATGCAAGCCACTTCTCTTTGTCATGAAACTTTTCAATGGAGCTGCATTTTATTTTTACCTCCTCTCTAAAAATATGCTAATTTTTTAATGATGTGCTCACTCCTACTGTTTGCTTTCCATGCCCCAGGGGATGAATCAGTTCCATAATTAGGATATGAAATAATCATTATTCTGTCGAGTATGAAGCATGCTCCTATGAAGAGAGAAACAGAAATACTGGGTCCAGTCCAGACCTGACTCAAGAAAGAGTTTTATTTCCGTAAATGAATGTTTCCTCCAAGTCAGAATGGCAGGAGTGGAGGCAGGGTGAGGTTTCATTCATCTATACTTGGGTTCCACAGTATTACTCTACTTGAAATATCGTCTCTTCCTCTGCTCTGAGCAAGTAGTATTAAATTTGGCTCGTCATACTTCATAGGGAAGCACCATGAAAAGGTCAACCATGAATGATACCGCTTCTTAACCATGCAACGCTAAGAGACTCTAGCTCTTTGAAAACAGCCTGAAGAGAACTCATTCTTCAGCAGCAGGCTATGTGCCACAGGCGACATAGAGAAAAGCTGCGTCAACTTGCACCAAACAAGCAGTGTACTTTGCAGAGATACAAATCCACCACGAACTCGAAGTTTACTTCATTGGCAAGCTGCCAGACAGATAAGCAACATATGTGTGCTGTTAAACTTCTGAATAGCTGGCCTCATACCAAGCACATGTCTAAGAGGATTAATTCTGGTGATTAATATCCCAGTGACCTCTTCTGACTAGATTTATGCCTGGTTTAAGTCAGATTTCAGTGTAACAGATGGAAAAAGGAGTAAAATATTTACTGAGAAATTATCACCCAGGCTTACTGCCTGCATTTTTTAATCTGCCTGGTTTTAGGGGTGCAAGAAAAGATCGTGATTCTACACATCATTTTCACCCTGAGAACCACAACAGAGGTCCAGAAGAGAAGAGTACAGAAAAAGCACGCTAACCCTTTAAAAGGCTGCAAAGCTTAGTGGTTGAATTAGCCAAGGGCAAAACTGTGTTGGGGCAGGGGGAATTAAAAACTGAACAGGATTAATACCAAACCAAACTCTTTTTTAGTTAGAGACAAGGTGTATTCTCACAGATAAAAAGGCTAAACATACAGTTTGGATTACCAATGCAAGCTCCTGGCAGAGAAAAAAGAGCGAGCTACATCACATCAAAAAAAAAAAAAATAAAAATTCAGAAACAATGCAAATCCTTTACACTTTTTAATCAGTATTTGCATTTGACCAACAATTTCTATGACATCTCGACTTGCAAAAAATCACTATGCTGCCCTGAAAATGCACATTTCAGTGAGACCTCAGCAGGACACTGTCAAATTAGCGGTGATGCAGATACTTCCTTTCTTTTGTGGGTAACAAATAGCATTCCCTACGAATATGCAGGGAGAGCTACTGCCGTATTTTTTATTATTAGACAGCAATTTCTCTTCCATGGGAAATTTTCCCTGAACATTCACTTTTTATCTTACACACGCCCGATGAGTCATGCAGTCATCAGTCACTAACTTGCAGCTCCTACGCTCCTCCCCATGGAGGTGATGATAAAAAGTTCAAGGCTTCATTGTTTGTCAAACTACTTTGACTTTCAGTATGTCCACGAACCAAGCTCTTAATTTATTTACTTGTCTATAAAAGAAAAAAAAAATAAATTGGGATTCATCTTCTGCTCAGATCCCTTTACGTTTGGCTACAGTTGCTATTTGTAAGCAGGTGGCGAGAGACATGGGAGTTTTGCATAAATCCAGATCATGCCAACGTAGCTTTACAATCATGCAGTCCAACGTTTAAGGACTTCAGATCAATTTACAAATGATGTAATTCTTGCCCTCCATAACATCAACTGCATCAATATAAGTAGCTACAGAGATTCGTATCAACTTGTTTCTTAAAACAAGCTTTTCTTTTTTGTTTTTAAAGCTTGTCCTATAATGTGGGGGACAATCTACAATACAAAGCACCAGAGGGGGTGGGAAGAAAAGAAGCAGGCAAGTGTCCCGCACCTGGCAGAAGTAGTTCTTTTTGATTATGATTTAGCTGGATTTGTAAATTCCAGATCTCACAGTGAACAGAGATAAAGGAAATAAAGCAATGGTAAAAAAATAAACACAAAACTGAAAACAGCTGAAACTGAAGAGACTTGAAACCAGGGGAGAAGTGAAGAACGACTGAGTTTTGAAGCTGATGAAGGAGCTGGAAGTAAATTGGGAGTATGCTACACACGTGTTTGTTCCCTGGCAATAACAAAGCTGCATCTGTTTTTCTGAAGGAACAGACAAACAAGGTCAGACACCTTAATACCAATTTCTAGCTCTGAAATGGCAGTGCGATTTTTATTCGGCCACTTTTAAGTACTCCTTGCAACCAATTCTGCAGTTACAGACCTTGCACCACACTGCTTGGGGCTGGGGGCGGGTGTGTGTGTCAGGAAATCAGGCATCATACCATCAAAAGCATCAGCTATACATTGACCAGCAATGTTCGCTTTACCTCCATAAAATACGTAACAATGTGTATTCTTTTTGGCATTACATGGTCAGGGCCTTTTAGATACTACAATCCTCCTTTTCTTTTGTGCAGAAAGGACAGTGCGGGTCTGTTTCCTTCAGAGACATCAGAGAAAGAAAAAGAGAAAACATTCCCACTACAGTCTGTCTAACCTAGCAACAGTTCAGGTGACCTCATACGAACCTTTCCACAATAGTGACTACACATGCTCTTGAAACACTGCGACTGCTTTAAATGCCTGGTTTTCAACTCTTTTCCAAAAGACAGGTTTCAGACTACTTCAGTGGAAGCAGATCCCTTCAAAGTTCACATTTGTAGAGCAATATGTGGCACAGATTTGCATATCCTAGCCAACTTTATGAAACATCTCAGTAGTAGAAAGTAGCTCCATGAACCACAGGCTGAAATCCACAGCTCTAGCTCTACCTTGCATCTGCACGAGCAGCTGCTTTCTGACAGGCTCCAGCAACTGCCCTTGGAAGGTACAGAGAAGCCCAGTAGTACTATTGAATGCGAGTCAGAAAAAGAATTCAGCTTTCTCTGTCAGAGCTAGGATGGTTATAAAGGAAAATAAAAAAGCACTCCATAATAAAAGCCTTTTTGTTCCCCCACTAAAATAGCGCCCAGAGAAAGTGTGTGATTTAAAAGTCTGTTTTAAACATGGGTACCTTCCACACTATAAACACAACATACTATAAAAAAAGTTGCCTATCAGTCTTCAGTATGAGCTAATTTCAAACTAAATTTAGCTAAACAGCAATTTTCTTCCCACAAACATCTTCCACTGTGCTCAGCACTGAGACACTTGTCAAGCCCCCCTTCCCACTATTAGTCTGCAGATGAAGTTACAGGCAGGAACACGTCAAACCTGTGATTCACCCGCAGTTACATGAATGCTCTGATCCAGCCCTTGATAAGGAGACAGCGTAAAAACAAGCAGCTGATTCTAATACACGAATGTACAGTGCCTTTTACCAAGACTTGAAATAGTTCATCTCACTTTACTGTGAGCTGAAAAGATGCATATAGTCATGAAATAATTAGGCAGAATACTTAAATAACCTACCAGCACTGTTCTCAATAGCCGTGTCAGGCTTCCCAAAATGAAAAGGAAAACCAAGAAGCAAAATGACCAACGAGACCAGCGTTTCTGTAGTACAGCACGTAGAAGAAATGCAACAGAAACAAAGAAAAGTTTCACTGGATTAAGAACTTGAAGACAAGATAAGACAAGCCCTTTGGACCTTTATTAATATGTAACTACCAAGCAATAGGATGTCACGTGGACTTTACAATGCCATGCTGAAAAACATGACCTCTATTTCAAACAGAAGTGGTCTATGGGACTTCCACCCTCATGGCAATGCTATGCAGAGATTGTCTTTCTTCAGATAAGGTCTAACAGACACACACACACACACACAAAAAGAAGTGATCCTACACATTTCCACCATGCTCAAAAAAGTCTGGAACCCTCTCTGCCCTGTAAAGCAAAGGCAACTTAACAGGTACGGGGCAGGCTTCATCCCATGGATGTCAGCAGGAGTTTGGCAAGAGTTCCATACTACACCAGTTTGTAGAATCTAGTCCTTTCTATGCCAATTCTCTCTCTAACCATTCATTTCAAACAAACAAAAAAAACCCCCCACCAACCAAACAAGAGCAACGAACTCAAACCAAACCAAAAAACCGAACCAACCCTCAACACAGCAGAATTATAGTCAACACTCGTTTTTGATATGGTCATTAAATAGCACAGGACCTCCAACCCAGTCAAGTCAATTTGCAATCTTGTCAATGCACAAGGCTGGAACAGTTGCAGAGGGCTTCTCTGTGACATTTGTGTGCAATCCATCTCATAATGAGGAGGAATAAATCAACATGAGGGTGCTCAGTGATGAGCGTGGTACACAAACACAGTGTCCCTTGGGTGGAAAATAAATGGGAGACACTGAAGTAAACACCCTCAACTTTGAAGTGATTGCAATCCTACAGTCTTTTGAGGGGAAATCTATGCACACTGCTGTTTGGGGGAAAAAAAAGCACGCGAGTACCCTCTCTCTCTCTCTCTCTCTCTCTCCCTCTCTCTAGCAACTTGCACAGCAAAGCTAGAAACCCAGCCCTGAGGCACAGTGCACACTGCTGTTTGGGGAAAAAAAAAGCACGCAAGTACCCTCTCTCTCTCTCTCTCTGGCAACTTGCACAGCAAAGCTAGAAATCCAGCCCTGAGGCACACCTCATACCCCACACCATCAAGACACAGACAGCATGATTCAAGTCACCCCTGCCTAGTGATCTAGCCTGCAAAGTAGATAGATACCCTTCAGAGAACATTTCTT